GCCACACAGCAGCTTTTCATCTGCGATGTTTTCCCGCAATACGATACGATCCATCTGTGAACAGAGCAAATTTCTTTTTATTTACTAGTAATTCATTGTATAGTGGGGCCTCTTTAGCGCTATACCTCTTCTGCTGGTCATGTTCCGAACTCTTTGCCTTTAGGCCAGTTCACGTTTGTATCTAAAATTCTTAGAAGATTGAGCTTCCCCATCCAAGCTTGTTGTGAAATCAACGCAATCCACTTTCTCCAAGTGGCATCTGTAGCACAATGGGTGGAGGGAACCTTTCCCTTGATCATCCGGTTCAGCACTCGCAGTCGAGGTGCTAGAAGGAGCTGCATTTCAGCGTCCATTACTTCAGAAGCAGCCCGAACCCCCTCATACATGGCTAAGATCTCCTTTTCTGTAGGAGTGCAGCACTCTTTTGACTCTCTGTACGCTCAACTCTGGAATGCAAAGGGTCGGCCTCGGGTCTCTTCTGAGGCACTTTGCCACAGACTCCAAGTGGGACCTTTCTCTCCAGCAACAGTGTAGAGGATGTTCTTTATATCCTGTCCTGTCCGTACTGGCCCTGCGGCCACAGCACGGGCTATCTATTGATTAATCTGCTCAAAAGCCTGCTGCTGCTCAGGACCCCATGAAAAATTATTCTTCTTTTGTGTCACCTGATAAAGGGGGCTTACAATGAGGCTGTAGTTTGGGACATGCATTCTCCAAAAGCCCACTACACCCTGAAAAGATCCTCTGTCAATGGCTGAGTCCCTATCAATGTCACCCAGTTGACAATCTTCTTTACTATCTAGTGACACACAGTTGGCCCCAGTGTCCTGACATCAAAGTAACCAGGTGACAATAGGCTCATTTGGGTGGCGTGAAAAGTCTTTTTTTGAACCTTGAATTTCAGCCATTTTCAGAGGTCAAAATGGTGACAATGTCTTCCTCACCTTCTTCTCTTTTAGCTCTCCTTGGTTTTGGCAACCATGGTCTTGTTAAGGGCTCCTTCCCTGACATTAGGGGTGAGTGCCTTGGATCTTTTTCCTCAGCTTTCTCATCTTCTCTTACAGTATCTTGTTTCTCTTCTTTATCCTCCTCTTTCTTCTGTTCTAAACGAGGTGACATTCGTTTCAATTTCTGTCCTCTTACAGGGGCAACTGACATCAATTCTAGTGCCTCCTCTGGTTGATCAGGTTGCTCAGTTCCGATGCTCTTTCTCTCCAGCTTGGCTGAGTCTGTCTTATTCTGTTTGAAGGATGTCTCCTTGTGTTTGAAGTTTGACTAATAGGTTTGGAGACTGTTCAGTTTGGATTCGGGAGTGTCTTGTTGAGACTGTAGGGTGTCTTGCTCTGTTTGGAGACTGTCTAGTTTGGATTGGAGGGAGTCTCACTTGGTTCAGTGGGTGTCCCATTCTGATTGGATGGTGTCCTGTTCATTTTGGAGGGTGTGTCGTTCAGATTGGAGATCTTTTCTCTCGGATTGGAGATTCTCTCTTTATAAGGTGTCCTGTCAATTCAGAGGGTTTCTTGTCGCAATTGGAGATTCTTTCTCTGAGCTCGGAGATCTTCCCTTTCGAATTGGAGTTTTTCCTTCTCAGCTCGGAGACACTCTTGCCAGATTCAGAGATTCCCTTTCCTGACTCTTACTCACCTAGGAGATTCTCCCTCTCAGTTTGGACTCTCTCCTGGAAGCTCTCTTTTCAGCTTGGAGACACTGTTTCTCAGCAAGAAGACTCTCTTTCTGAACCTGCAGATTCTCTGTCTCAAGCTCAGACTCGCTCATGGAAACTCTCCCTCTCGGCACAGAGATTCTCCCTTTCAGCTTGGAGACTCTCCCTTTCAGTTTTGACTGTCTCCTGGAAACTCTCCCTTTCGGCGTGGAGACTCTCAATTTCAGAAAACCTCTCCCTCTCTGAGATATTATTGAACAAGGCCCAATAAGCATAAGCCAGACCCCAAATAATTTGTGGCATGAGATCTGTCTGAGCCACAACATCCCTGTCTTAAATACTGGCTTAGATTCTCAGGATCTTGCAGGTGTTCAGGAGTGAAGTCCCATGACACCGGGGATACCCATCTCTCTAAAGTCTCTCCCAAGTCCCTCCACAGTCCCTGCCACTCAGTATTCTGTGGGTTTGGGGAAGGCTTCCTCAAAATATTGTAAATACAGATACTGAGTGAAATGAATAGGAGTATATTCAGAGAGACTGACTACATGATCATCGGATGAGCATTCAAAAAATGCATAACGGGTTCAAGGGAAAGACTGGGAGACTGTTTAAAAGTCACAAGTTCTGTATAATTAATCGTTCCCTCTGGAAACAGTTTTACAAGAGAAAGCAAAAACTTTTTTTTTCTTTAGCAAAGCAAGCTAGCAGCACCTAGAAAGTTTACAAATATCCCAGAATACTGGCAGTCTGCCTGGACTTCAAGGCATTGTTTTCAGTACAGTACCTGCTATACTGATAAACTTTCTAACAAATCTCTTCAAGAGTAGAGAGAGATTTGTTCTAAAAGCACATCTTTTCCTGGACAATGTGGTCTATGCCCACATTTTCCACCCAAAATGTCAGCGGTTTACAGGCTGGTTTGGCTTCGTTCTATGACTAATGGGGTGGGGGGTCCCACGGATCCATGCCCAAGGAAAGGGGAAAGGGGGAAAAGGGAAAGGGTAGGGAGATGGACCTAAAAACAAAACGGCAGCAACGATCTCAGGGATACAAACTAATTTACAATATAAGTTATTGGAATGCAAGATAAAACAGTATAATACAATATAATTAGAATAGAAGCTAATAAATAAAACGAAAGTGTCCAAAAACCTAAAGCCTTACTCTAATGCTGAAGGCAAGATGGCTAGAGAGCACACATGGTGCAGAGACAAGCAGAAAGGGAAAAAGGGGATGTCTTGTTGCATGTGAACAGTTTTATCTTTCCTTGTGGATGGAAAACAGAAATGAAAAGTCCTCTGAGTTATGTAGTTCTCCTTCTCTTCTGAGACAAGTATCTGTCTCAGAAGAGAACTTCGACTATCGATGATCTTAATGACTAGAGTATTAACTCTTAAACTCTACTTGATGTGCTCTACGTGATGTTATGATGTGGAATACCAATAACAAAAATCATAAAACCATGTGAAAGCTCTTCAGAAGGGAAAGGGAAGGAAGGAGGGGTGGTGGTGTGGCTCTCTATGTTAGAGAGTGTTTTAATGTTGTTGAGCTTGGGACAGGGAAAGAAGGTTGAATCTCTATGGGTAAGGATCCGGGGGAGGACCATCAAGGCTGACATCCTGGTGGGGGTCTGTTGTAGACTGCCTAACCAGGAGGAAGAGATGGATAAGGCATTCTGTGAGAAGTAGGCAAAATTTGCACAATCGCATTGAGTGCACCCTCAGTAGATTTGCAGATGACACCAAATTGGAAGCGTCAATCTAGATGGGCTGAAGCCAATGGGATGAGGTTCAACAGGACCAAGTGCCGGGTCCTGCTCTTTGGCCACAACAACCCTAGGCAATGCTGCAGGCTTGGGGCAGAGTGGCTGGAAGACTGTGAAGAAGATACAGACCTGGGGGTATTGGTTGATGCTTTGCTGAACATGAGCCAGCAGTGTGCCCAGGTGGCCAAGAAAGCCAGTGGCATCCTGTCTTGTGTCAGAAATAGTGTTGCTATCAGGAGCAGGGAACTAATTTTCCCTCTGTACTCAGCACTGGTGAGACTGCACCTCGAATACTGTGTTCAGTCTTGGGCCCCTCACTGCAAGAAAGATGTTGAGGCCCTGGAGTGCGTTCAGAGAAGGGCAATGAAGCTGTTGAGAGGTCTGGAGCACAAACCTTATGAGGATCATCTGAGGGAGCTGGAATTGTTCAGTCTGGAGAACAGGAGGCTCAAGGGAGACCTTATTGCTCTCTATAACCACCTGAAGGGAGGTTGTGGTGAATTGGAGGTCAACATCTTCTCCCATGTAACTAGCAATAGGACCAGAGGGTATGACCTCAAGTTGCACTAGAGGAGATTCAGATTGAACATTAAGAAATACTACTTCCATGAGAGAACGCTCAGGTACTGGAGCAGGCTGCCCAGGGAAGTGGTGGAGACGCCTTCCCTGGAGGTGTTCAAGAAAAGGGTAGATGATGTATCGAGGGACATTGTTTAGTGGGAAATATTGGTGATAGGTGGATGGTTGGACTGGATGATCTTAGAGGTCTTTTTCAACCTTGGTCATTCTATGATTCTGTGATTCTATGATTCTATGGTCTGTTCTGGTTCCCAAGCCACAACATGGCTGAATGATAAATTTGTTGCCTTAGGAATAAAGAAAAAGAGACTTCAGTTTGCCATTATAAAGCTGCTTGTTTGACACTCACAACTTGGAATTTAAGTATTAATGAAAGAACAAGATGGAAGGCACTTTCAAAGGCTGCTTTGAGGCAATACCTCCTATTTTATTACTTTGGCCCACTACATCAGAGGCAGGTGTTGGTGGTATGGCAGTAGAGGTTGAACCTTACCTCCATTATTCATTTTGTTGCCATGCGACAGACTCTTGTTCATCGCTGTTGAAAATGCATAGCTAAAGGAGGTGTCTATGTTGAAAAATAGTGATTTGTAACTTAGAATTCGATCTATCAAATAGTGATGTTGTGTTCTTTGTATCTGTTGTAGTTTCCATGGAAATAAATGAGGCATTATTTTCAGAGTAATCTAAATATTTCCATATGTTTCATCTAAAAATGCTTTTTTTTTTTTACTGAAGCTATATATTGGAGAAATGCCTATCTTAAAATGAATATTTCATGTAAATGTATACATAAGCAATTTTTGAATTCATCTGGAATGCAAAAATGTAATTTAGAATCAGTCATTCTAAATTCACTTGGAAAAAATAAATTTACTCCAGATGACACATTCGTGTTTTGTGGTTCACTTGTTTCTGATGACGATGTGTTCACTTCAGATAGGACTAAATTGGAATTGATTTGTTCTAATAAATACTTGTTAAAATTGCTAGGAGCCATATATGGAAGGGGTAAATCCATTCATCAAGAGTAACAAACATCGCATGATCATGTTCTTAGATGAACTTGGGGTAAGTGGTTTTAAAAAAAAAATAAAGCTATTGGAAGTTGCATAGCGACATAGCATAGCAAAAAATATATTAATTTAGCACTGCTGTATATATCAGATCTAAGATTATGGCGTTTTTTTTTTTTTTTTTTTTGCCAAAAATACCAGTCTTTTAAAATATATTTTATAACCAGTTATTCTGTGTAATTTGTAAGGTGGTTTTGACCAGACAGTGAAAAATTTGATATATTTTTTTATTGAAAGCATTATGTTGAGTTTTAGCATTGTGTTCAGTTTAACAACAACAACAAAAGACAAAAAACACACCTAATGAATGTATCCTCCTTTTATTTGCAGGGCGGATATAATAGGAGTATCTATTCTCACCATCTTTCTGATCAGCTCAGAGATAGCATAGCAACATCAGATCTTTTAGTAGTACCCTCCTAGTAGGAATAGGAATTGTTGTTTATTTAGTAATCACTCCACATGGAATGTGTAACCATAATTCAAATGTCTTTATTAAATAGATGCTTGTGGAGAGAAGGAAATACATAATTTCTATTAGATAACATGGACAAGAAAACTTAATTATGAAGAAAACCATTGCAATACTTGTTTGCAGTATCAAAACAACTGTTGGCTAGTCCGAAGGCTTGTAATTTAATTTTCTGCATTCCTGGGTGCTCACCATTCTAAAACTGCTCTCATCATTTTTGTTAAAGAATGTTCCTGAGCTTCCAGACACTACGGAGCATTCTAGAACTGACTTATCTCGTTATCTGGCAGCCTTGCATGAGATGTGTGTTGCACATTCAGATGAACTTCGGACACTCAGTAACGAGCGAGGTGTAATGCAGGTAAACTATAGAGGTTAACAGAAATCATAGGTCTGGAGTTATTGCTTAATATCATTATTCTTTTGTATTTCTGGTCAGCAGTGTGAGTGATAAATATCTTAATTTGTACTTATTTCACTTCCTATTGCTACTTCACTTCTGCTTCCTGATTTATTACATTTATAAACAAACAACAAGCTTCTCAAGCAAACGGTATAAATGACAGTTCTGTTTCAACTAATAAGCAAACTTACTATAAATGATTAGTCTTTTCTGACTATTGAACTTCAATAACTTCTATGAAAACTTATTTTTAAGAGGAAAAAAAGTTAAAATTATTACTTTTGTAGTATTTTGAAACAATGAAATGTACTTGCCTATGATCTACTAATTATAATGAACTTCAAGTAGATAACTATTTATTACATGGTAATATGTTTTGCTATGCTTAGCTATTACACTGTGTTGTGCAGGAGATTCTTTAAGTAGTCTGTCTTTACTAGCATTATCAGGACAAAATGTCACGTTCAAGTTCATAATTCATTCACAGCTACTAATGGTCTTGACTGGCAAGACAGGATAGTAGAAGCTTTTTGCACTAAATATGTGTTGCTTACAAATGAAGAATATAATTTCTTTTATGAGGCCTATATCTGAAGTACTTAACAATTACAGATTTGGTACTGTTTCCTCAATGTACTTCCTTTTACTTCAGAGGAAAATTTTCTCCTTGTGCATTTCCATAAATAAAACTCTTGATTTTTATTCCCTTTTCCTTCAGTCAGTTCAACTTTCTGATTAAGTTGGCAAGACTAAATGGGTCTCCATAGATGCTGATAAATTTCATATTCCTGTTTTAAAGTTGCCTTTTGAAGTAATGTCTTCACGATTCAAGAATTGGAGCTGTGACAGTTATGGGATGTGAATGTTAATATATACTTTAAGCTACTTGCAAGTCTGGTAGACAAATGTTGACGCTTCTCAAAAAGAAAGTTTTTTTCTCTGGTTACTAATGTAGAGTTGTATACTTTTTTTTCTACAGCATGTTCTTAAGAAGCTGTTGGCTATTACAGAACTGCTTCAGCAAAAACAAAATCAGTATTCAGTGTCTAATAACATCATGTAGCAAGCTGAATTCTGCATGGATCCTGCATGTCTAGCATGGCAGCTCCCACCAGTATCACCTTGGTTTTTTTGGCTCTTGCCAAAAACAGAACACCCTGTCAAATTCCCAGTGATGGGTGAACTGTACAACAAAAAAGCAAAAATTATTTTAGTGAATCATTGTACTAGCAGCTTTTTAAGCTGTCTGTACAGGACAGTTGCACTTTTCCTCTTGGAACCAGCTTTTACATACAATGAGTCTTGGTGTACAGTTTACCATCTGCAAAGAAAATGCTGTGACTGTCTTGAAATTAGAAAATTACTTTCAGCATCTCCAATTGTCAAAGCTTTTTCCGTCTTGTTGGAAAAGAATACACAGCTGAAAGCAATGTATAATTGGATTACATTTCTTATTGTAATTTCTGCCTGGTTACAATTATGATGACTTTGACCATTTCAACTACTTGACCTTCTATTTACAGTTTGTAGAATTTGATGGTCATGATAAAACCAATCTTTGCTGTACACTTTTTATACTATGTTGTTTCTCTTGCTGGAATGTTGTCAAAAGGGAATTTAAAGAACAGGTCTTTAATGTGCCACTGATTTGGTCTAAATAATTCTTCCTACAGTAACTATATCCATCCATATAAATCACAATGCTTTAATAAGATGTCTATGACAGTAAATAATTTTAATTCAGTGAATTTATGATTGTATCAGACTTGCATGCATCCATTAAAACATTTTATAAAATATTTATTGGCTGCTCTTCTGTGTAACATAATACTAAAAATTGGGGAAAAAAATCACAAAAAATGGGAAAAATCCCCTCAACTGGGAAAAAAAAAAATCACAAAAAAGGAGGGAAAAAAATCCTAAAAACTGGAAAAAATGCCCCAAATAAGGATGAAAAATCCCCCAAAAAGGGGAAAAATGCCCAAAAATGGGATAAAGATTCCCCAAAATTGGGATAAAAATCCCCAAAAATATGAAAAATATCTACAAAATGGTGAAAAAAAATACAAAAAAGAGAGCAGAAATACCAAAAGTTACCAGTGCTGAGTACAGGGGGGATGATCACCTCCCTGCTCCTGCTGGCCACACTATTTCTAATACAGGCCAGGATGCCGTTGGCCCTCTTGGCCACCTGGGCACACTTGTCAGCTCATGTTCAGCCGAGCATCAACCAACACCCCCAGATCCCTTTCCTCTTCACAGTCATCCAACCACTCATCCCCAAGCCTGTAGCGCTGCATGGGGTTGTTGTGGCCAAAGTGCAGGACCCGACACTTGGCCTTGTTAAACCTCATCCCATTCATCTCAGCCCAGCCATCCAGCTTATCTAGATCCCTCTGCAGGGCCTCCCTGCCCTCAGGCAGATCGACACAACCTCCCAACTTGGTGTCATCTGCAAACTTACTGAGGGTACACTCAATCCCTTCATCTAAGTCGTCAATGAAGATATTAAACAGGATGGGCCCCAGTACCTACCCCTGGGGGACACCACTTGTAACAGGTCTCCAGCTGGACTTCACTCCATTGACCACCACTCGTTGAGCACAGCCCTCCAGCCAGTTCCTTATCCAACAGAGGGTAAAACTGTCCAAGCCATGGGCAGCCAGTTTCCGCAGAAGGATACTGTGAGAGACCATGTCAAAGGCTTTGCTCAAGTCTAGGTAGACTACATCAACTGCCTTTCCCTCATCTACCTGTTTGGTCACCCAGTCGTAGAAGTAGATGAGGTTGGTCAAACACGACCTGCCTTTCATGAACCCGTGCTGGCTGGGCCTGATCCCGTGGACAAGCTGTGTGATCTCTCCCAGGAGGATTTGTTCCATGATCTTCCCTGGCACTGATGTCAGGCTGACAGGCCTGTAGTTCCCCGGATCCTCCTTATGGCCCTTCTTGTAGATGGGAGTCACATCAGCAAGCCTCCAATCCTCTGGAACCTCTCCAGTCAACCAGGAGCGCTGGTAGATAGCTGAGAGCGGCTTAGAAATCACCCCCGCCAACTCCCTCAGCACCCTAGGATGAAGCCCATCCGGTCCCA